ACAATGCATCCTGGGACTTGTAGTAAGTAAACCACTTCACTCTGCCACAGTTAAGTTTCAACAAAGTCTGAACTATCTAGCACAATTTGACTAGGTCTTATTATCATGTTAGTCAAATTCAGATCTCATTTGTTTCTTCTCTGCTCTGGCACAGTTTCTTTAGCACATAATTTAAAACGTATCAATTTATATTTAAGTCAACATTTTCACATTAGAAAAACCTTATACAGGGTAAATACATAAAAGGAATGCTTAAAAAGCAGAAAGTTTGATATAATTAAACTTTAATTATAAAGTTTAAATTATAATTTAAAATTTTATTTAAATACATAATTTTTGAAACAATTTTCTCAGTTTCCTTGGATCAGTTTTAAAGCTTTCTATCCCACTCCCAAAAGAAAAGATTTTTAATTGTTTTACCAGGTTTCCTCTTAACAGTCTTTCAAGTTATGTTTTATAAATATTTTTTCTTAAAGAAAATTCTTATAAGAAAACATTTTCCATACACTCTAATACTGTCCACTAGGATAGCAGTTTTGTGTATTACTGTTCTTACAGTAATACATACACATAATACCATCAGACACACCAAAAAAAAAACACACAAAAAAACAAAAAAAAACCCAGTAAGTTCCTCACTTGTCTTCACTCAAAATTTACTCCCTCAACTTTCACCCTTCCTCCCTCTCTCTCTCTCTCTCTCTCACACACACACACTCACTCACACACACACACACACACACACACCCCTATTTCTGGAAAGAACACTTAAGAAAAAATATTCCAACTACAAACCCATCTCTGACCTCCTCTAAAAACACAAAGATTTCCATTAAAACTATCAATAACATGTCCAACCCCAAGCAATCTATGTTTATTCAGATTCTACACTCACCCCCTATTTTTTGCAAGACTGAAGGAGGAGGCTGGGAAAGAACCAAGTGCAATCTGCATCAGGAGGCCTAACACAGGTGGTGGGTTATTTTCAGGCAACGAGCACCTTCACAAACATGCTGTGGAATACAGTCCAAGAAATTCCTAACAAGAAAAGATAAGCTGGCAAACAAATTTAACACAATCCAGCTAAAAATCACCTGCAACACATGCTACTACATTTCACCATAAAAGTGACAGGCTACAACAAGATCTGAAGCTTCATCAATACAACATACTGTCCATAAGGCCATAGATAGCTGTTGCCATGGTTACTATCACCCACTTCTATCAGAAAATTATTGTCATTACTCTGAAGTTTTTGGTACTTATTTAAAATAAAAATTTTAAAGAACAGTTTAGGGTTCTAACTGTTAATTGAGTGAAAAAATCAACTCCTGTTTGATTTGTAAGTATGCTGCCTTAGAAATGCACATGGTTAACAATACTTGGATCTGCAGCAGGAAAAAATCAATTTCTTTCTGCTGCTCCTTCTCCTCAAGTACTGACAGTTTGTATTCTCAATGCAGCCAAAACAATAAAACAAAACCCATCTTTTTGGCTTCTGTGTTTAAGTCATTTTTCTCTCCTAGGCCCACAACCAGAGTCAAAGCCTAGATCACCAACCTGTTAGGCCCCACCTCCTTCCTATCTCCACATTACCCGTTCACTTTTTTTGTCCACTTAAAAAGGCAGAAGAACACTTCCGTAGATGATTCCAAAATACAGGAAAAAATAGTTTCCTTCAATGAGACCTGCTCACTATTTTTTTTGAAAGGGGTGGGGTGGGGCTTGCAGTGTATTGGAGGGAGAGAGAAATGGAGGGGTATTCAAACTTCCCAATAAATATCTAGGGTAAGAAAGTTGCTTTAGAAAAACCGAAAGGATGACTGAACCTCAAGGGAAGAGTTCACCACCACCCCAGTTTAAGATGGAATTGATAGACAAGTAATATAAAAGTTATTTTTAAAAGTCTATTTCAACATTCTTACAAAAGATAACTGTTCAAAAAATTAATACATAAGAATTACATGAAAGCCTATAAAATTATATGGCCACATACACACACAAACACATAAAGAAGAAAGCATATACTATTTAACAAATAATTACTTATAATGAATTTAATGCAGTTTTAACAAATTACCTCTTTTTAAAAAAATCTCAAAGCAGCAAAAATACACACCTGGTAAAGTTAAAGTGATCAGAATATTTTGCTATGCTCCTTAAGAATACTTAGGAGCTTGCAAAAAAAGCCCATGTACAAAAGTTCTTGAAAAGTTAACATAAATCATTAATATTTCCCAGCACAGATTAATATGAAGACTCAAACATGTTTCAAGAAATGAGCTCTAAATATAGATATAAAGGAATTCTGTCAAAGGTTAGAGACCTAAAACTTTAATCTCTTCCTTTTCTCCTTTTGAATAGTAATTAAATACAAAAGCCTTCAGCAATAAGATACTAAGGATACAAAATTTAAAAGCACATTCATATAACCTTAACTTCAGTATTTCAAGAAAAGCTTTGAGTATTCACTGTCTGTGGAATTGGAAAGTTAATATTACCCTGAGCAGTTTCATTTTTAACTAAACAGTTAAATGTTTTTCTCACTATACACAGAAGCAAGTTTCTATATTTAATTACTAATTGTGGTTATTTCATAAAGAACAGTCACTTCTAAACTTTAAGATATGCTCATAAGCACAGGGACTTCTAATTATCTACATTTTATTTTATTTTGGTAAAAATTTGTGAACATGCTATTAAGAAAGCTACAGCTTGGGCTCTGAGTGTTAAATTTTTGTGTTATTTTTACACAAAAGTACTTCAGTGTACCCCTCTAGGATTTGAGTAGTCATTTCCTCATGCATCCCTCTAAAATAGAAAAAGATATATAGATGTACTTTATACTAATGCACACATGTACACCTCTTTTACACTTTCAAACAAATTTAAAAGATTTAGTAAGAATTTTCCCCAAAGTTAGCAGAATCAATCAAAACAATCAAAATCTCAACAATGACATCTGTTACTCTGTGTGTTGTTAAGAGTCTACAGAAGAACTGAGAATTTAAATATTCACTAAAATCAACTACTGATGTATCAATGGAGAAATGAAGAAAAACTTTAATAGGGGATACACATTTCACAAGATCTACAAAAGGAAAAGTGATCTTTTTCTTGAATTATGAGAAACTGCCTAGGCAGCATTTTTTAAACAAAGCTTCAAAACTGTAACAAAGAGCTTTTTGGTAACCACAGCAGTATTTAAAAAAAAAAAAAAGAAGAAGAAGAAGAAGAAGAAAAAAGAAAAAAAGAAGAATTATAAGGTGTTTGGGGTGCACTTTTAATGCACTCATTTCCCAAATGATACGGAGAAAGTTAACATTTTAAAGACAGAAGCTTCTGTCCATGCATTAATTAGTAACCTATCTCAACAACTTAACATCTGCACGGCTGCTGACAATTTACAAAGAACATGTATTATCGCATTTGATCTTACTTAGAAAAAAAGTACAGCATTATGCCTAGAAAACAGACAAAACTCAAAGCAGGTTTATCAAATTTTCTACACATTCCAAAGTTTTTCAACTCTGACATAAAACTTTACAAGCCACCAAGTAGGATATTTCCAGCGATAAATCAATTCACCTAATACTAACAAGAGTTTCAAATGACCATGTGCTATAAATGCTATGAAACTACTTTTATCTCTATGGAGTTATTGTTAAGTGTTACTAATGGACATATCATCAGCAATGATCTATACCCACAGATATAACTACTTATACTTCAAGAATCTCAGTCTTTGGAGGCCAATTCAAATAACATCAAGCATATGCATTTATAAAGCCAATCGCCTAAGAATTTATTTATTAGGATAACTGTGCATAGGTTTGAGGAAAAAAATAAACACAAAAAGTGTAAAATGTTCTCCATACAATATCTCCCTTTCCAAAATCTCAGGTACTCTTTCAAAATCTCAGGTACTACTTCTATTAATATTATAAGGGTGATCACAAAACGTCCCAATTCATACCAACTGCTTTTGTTTATAGCTATTGTACATAATAAAGACTAATTCCTCTTCGAAGTAATTCTAACAGCATTCTGTGACTAGACACAGCATCCTTAAGATATCCACAATAAGAAGTCTACTTTGTGTAATATTGTAAGCAAGTAAAAAGAAGTCAAAGATTTCAGTTTAAATAGCATATGTAACTTACTAATGGAATTTTTTTTTTTTTTTAGTGAACTTACTGAAAATCTTTCTGGAACTTTAGGGTGTTAATCCTGTTGCTTAGTTGAAGCTAAGAAGAGCTATAATAAATATCAAGACCCTCAAAATTCAGAAATTTGCTTTATCTTGCTGTAGCACCTCCTGCTGGATAGCATTTAGAGCTCTTCATGGAAGCAGAAGAAGAATGTCTGAGGCCACTCCTTCCAGAAAGTTGAATAGGAGAAAGGATGGACCCTTCAAGACTAAAAGAAATAGGGCCCCGTCCATCACTTTAACCCTTAAAAATAAAATCTGGCATAGGGTATAAGTCTTTTTTTTAACCTATTACTATTCCAGAACCATGAAGACCTGCCCAAGTCCAACGTGCAAAATGCATAAGCAAGCTTGTAAAATTACTTTAAAACCCATCAAAAGCACTCAAGCAAAAGACTATTATGGCCAGGCAAGCAATGCCAGTCATATTGCAAATACTATTATATTAACAAAAGCAAAAGTCTGACATAATAAGAAAAGTATCTGGAATTTTTTCCCCCTGCAATATTTTTAACATGTTAGCCAGAAGTTTGTGTTTTGAGAATTTTCTGCACTACTACTATGCTCTTCACTTAAGAATAGTTGTACATTTCCAGGAGTTTTAAGTACATTTGTTTGCAAACATGAGTAACTAAATACACATTTAAACAAAAAAAACCTCTTTGCCATCAAAAGCTATTCCTGAGATTTTAAAATTCATTCTTCAGACATTTTAAATAGCCCCTACAGCTCATTTTAATTAAGCCCGTATACAAGTGGAGACAGAAAAAGAGAAAAGGCAGGAACTTACCAAAATCAAAATGAAAACAGTATTTCCAATAAAAATGGGGTAACAGTTTCCTACAAAATCGTGAAACGAAGTAAATTGTGAAACTTTTTAAAAGGGGGGAGGGGAAAAAGGAGGGGAGAAGGAGACTAGTCTTCAAAACCCAAAGAAAAGCTGACCTATTTATTTCTACTGCCCAAACAGGAGTGAATACCCAAATGTAAACAAACAACATGAACACTGAAAAGTACACTTAGGTCTCAGGCCCGATTTCAGTTTCTTTACCAGGCCCTCAATGAAACTACAGATGTCGATGAGAAGAACCCTCTATAAAAGGAGATATTCCGGCTCTCTGCCCTAAAGAACCCCTATAAAGTCTGCCTATGAGAAGGCTTCCTTCCTAGAGTGCACACACTGCTTTAAAAAAAAAAAAAAAAAAAAACTTTCCACAGTCCAAATTAATCTGATTCTAATATTCAGCTATCAATTATTAATATACAAATGTTCTTCCTTCTCTAAAGTCCCCAGCTAAAGCATCCACATTCCTAACACCTACTATTAAAAAATGAACACACAGCTCGCTCCCGGGCTCTGGGGCAGATCTTTGAAATCCAAAACACAAGCCACAAAGTTCACTGTCAAGGCCAGTGCTGAGGCCCACACAGGCCCGGACCCTTAATTCCCATCTGACATGCTTAGAGAGCCATTACATGCAAAGACATCCTTTAAAAACAACACAATGTGGACGTGCAGAGTGAGACCCTCTACTTGGAGACCTAAACAAAGAATATTTCGGCGTAGGACCGGCATCTGATGACACCGGATTCATCAATGAAAACAAAACCTGCCTTCCATGAGCAGTCATACCCTGATCTCAGCAACTCCACTACTTAGAGATCACTCTCGGCGCATCTGCACCCCACAAACCGGCGTGTGGCCTTCTCCGGGGGGTGGGTGCCAGCCACGGACAAAGTTGAAAGGAGACATTCTTCCCCGGGTGCCCAAATCTCGGCATCCATCCCTCCCCTTGCCAGGGCCACCTTGCTGCTACCCACCATCGCGACCGATCGCGGCCAGGGGAGAGAGAAGAAAAAAAAAAAAAAAAAGAAATCCTAACAGCACCGCTCCGCAGAATAAAGAGACCAGAGAGAGGATGACGAGAAGTGTTGGGAACTGCGTGCACGGCGGGGCTGGACCAAACGGAAAGAGTCCCACTCCGCGAGCCCCTCCCCCCGGCGGGGGCGCGGGCGGCGGGGGAGGGGCGGCCCGGCCCCTCGCGGAGCGGCCTGTCCGCCGGCCCGGCCCGCGCGGGGTCCCGGGGCGCCTGCGGCCGCGGGCGGGCGGGCGGCGGGGGCGAGTGCGGGAGGCCGGCCCCGGGGTGAGGGGTGCAGGCCGACGCTCCGGAATAACAAGTTGCAGAAGAAGAAAAAGAAGAAGAAGAAGAAGAAGCGGAATTTCCCCACCGCTCCTCCGGCCACCCAAGACAAATGCACCAACACCAACACACACACACACACACACACACACACACAGGCCCGGCAGCGTCAGCAGCCGCAATTTTTTTTTTTTTTAATCAGATCCCTCAGTCACCAAACAAGATGGTTTTCCAAAAAATTTTTTTTAAATAAATAAATAAATAAAATCTTTAAAAAAAATAATCATAATAAAACTTCCCCCCGACAGCATCCCGGGGAGGGGGGGAGGGGGATGAAAGAGCCAAGGCGATCACCATCCCCGGGCGGAGGGGCGGCGAGGCCCGCGCCCCCCGCCCCCTCCGCCGCCCCCTCCGCGGCCCCCGCCGGGCCGCCGAGCCGCCCCCTCCCTGCCGCCCCCGGCGCCCGCCGCCTCTGTCACCCGCCCGGCCCCGCACTCAGCGCCCAGGCTCCGGAGGCTGCTCATAAACTTACTTCCAATCTATCCTGGGGAGGGGTGGAGGGCAGCGGGGAGGGAGAGAGAGGGGGAGACAAGGTTTTCCCATTGTCTTTTTTTTTTTTTTTAAGGGGTGGGGGGTGGGGGGAAGGAATAGGAAGGGCACACGCAGGGGGGCGCCCCGAAGGGGAAGTTATTGCTCAAATCTCAAGTTGACTGCGGGGTCCTGGCGAGAACACCCCCCCTTTACCTCCTCCCTCCCTCCCTCCCACACACCCCTCCCCTCCCCCCACAACAAACTCCAGGCAGGCAGCCCCCGTGCCTCCCCTCGACAAACACCAGAGACAAGACAGAGAGAGGGAGAGCGAGAGAGCAGGGGGAGAGGGGGAGGGGGAGGGAGGGGAAGAGAGCTACTCCAGGAAAAGAGAGAGAGAGAGAGAGAGAGAGAGAGAGAGAGAGAGAGAGAGAGAGAGAGAGAGAGAGAGAGGAGTGAGAAGAGAATGGAAAAGCTGGGATACTGCACCCTCCTGCTGCTGGCTGGCTGTCCCCCCTGGCAGCTGGAGGCAGGAACTCTGAGCAGGAGAAGCAGGAGGAGGAGGAGGAGGGAACTCTTCTTCATGGGGAGGGTGGGAGGGAGGGAGGGAAGAAGCTGGGGCTGCTGCTGCTGCTGCTGCTGCTCTGGGCCTCTCGCACTTTTTAGATACTAGTGTGTTAAAATGGTAGGTTGTTCCCTCCTTCTCCCTCCTCCTCCTCCTCCTCTCCTCTCCTCTCCCTCTCGCACTCACTCACTCACTCTCTCTCTCTCTCTCTCTCTCTCTCTGGGCTGTTTCTTTCCTCCTCTTCCCCAGGCAAAGGGGGGTTGGGGAGGAGGGGGTGGGGGGGGAGGAACTGGATCCTCCTCCTCCTCCAGGAGGGACACACTCGGCTCCGGGCCGGAGTAGGAGGGAGGGGGGATCAGAGCAGCGGGAGAGAAACTGTGGGAGACAAACAAGCCCAACTCTTCATCCTCCCTCCTCCTCCTCCTCCTCCTCTCAGCAGCAGCAGCGAGCACCACCAGCCCATTCACCACCCGGCCCCGGGCCGCAGCACCTCCGCCGCCTCAGCCCGGGGATCCCTCCGCCCAGGCCCAGACACACTCACTCGCCCGCGCGGGAGCCCGCCGCGCGGCCCCGCCGGCCCGCCGCCGCCGTGCGCGCCCCCGCCGCTCCCGAGAGCCGGGCGAGAGGCGCTGGGGCTGCGAACGCGAGCGGGGACGAGGGCGGGGAGGCGGGGGAGAGAGAGGAGGCACCGGGGTAGAGGGGCACCGTGAGGCGGGAGGGGGCCGCCGGACTGAGCTGAGGGGTAGGTACGGCGGCCGGCCCGGGCCTCCCCCCGCCCGCCGCGCCTCCGCCCGAAGCTCCCTGGATGCACGGGGCTCCCCCCCCCCAGCCCCCCGGGGGCGGCGGGGCGACGGCGGGGGCCCGCGGCGGCGCTCGGGCGGGCGGACTACTTGACGTGTCGGTGCGGCGAATTTATTTCACTTTGCCTAAGGAACGGGGTGTGCTGCGGCACCCATTGCCTAGGGAAAAAACCCGGATGTAAAGTGAGTGAAACTAAACTAGAGTGAAGTAGGGCAGCGGCAGCCAAACTCCAGTGCAGCGGCAGCGGCCGCGGCGGCGGCGGCGGCGGCGGTGATGGGGCCGAGCTCGGAGCTGCGGCGGCGGCCAAACTCCCGGGGCCGCCGCCGCCGCCGCCGCCGCAAGGATGGGCCGGGGCAGCGTCGCCGCCGCAGCTCCGAGCTCCGGGTAGCTGCAGCCGAGGCGAGGCCGGAGCCCGTGGCGGCCCCCTCCCCTCCCCTCCCCAACTCCGCGGCCCGAGCCCAAGTCCCCCCCCCCTCCCGCCGGCAGGCGCTTGCTTGCTCAGGGGCTCCGGAGTGGCCCCAACTCCCTCCGGTGCACCAGCAGTTTTAAGGGATGGGGGGGTGGGGGGAGTAGCCAGGGCAGGAGCGAGGAAGAAGCGACGGGGGAGCACTGCAATGAGGAGGGAGCGTGGTCCAGGCAACAGTAGGAGGAAGGATGCAACCTCAAGTCGAATGCAACATGCAATCCCCGGCCGCCGCTCGCCCGCTCCCTCCCTCCCCTCGCCACCCCGCCCCCTTTCCAAATAACTACCCTTGAACCACTTTATTAGCCCGGCCGAGTCCCACCTTCCCTGCGGGGAAGGGCGGGGGACGGGGGTCCTTCGCTCACCTTTATTTATTGCCGCTTTCTCTCCCCCCCCTCTCCATTTTTTTTTTTTTTTATTCCTAAGTTCTTTTGTTCTAAGGGGGGGATGATGGCATTTACTTTTCTGCTTTGTGTGGCAGGGCAATCGCTGGGAATGGGCCACGTAGAATCCGGCGGTGTGTCATATTTTATTAGTGAAAGTATTTTATGCCTATTCTACCTCCAAGGACTGTAACATGGAGAACTGCAGGGAGGGGAAAGAAGAAGAAGAAAAAAACAACAACAGGAGAATTCTTGTTTGGAGAGGTTTCTTGGCAGGGCGGGGGGAGGGGAGAGGGCCTCTTATTTTTTGGGAGGGGGTTTATTTAGGTTTTTTCAATCGATAGTTTTTAACTTACAGCTTAATTGTTTTGTATAGATAGGCTACTGAATTCTAAAATAATCCCAAGCCACCATAAAGAAAAAAGTCCAACATACTCGATTAAAAAAAAAAAAAAAACCCTTCCTAGACAGTGATATTATCTGTCCTGTGCAGCACGTTGGACTTAACACAGTGTTGGCCTTCGAATGTTAAATAACAATAAACCACAACCTCAACTGAATACAAATGGGGGTGGGGGTGGTTTTGTTTTTAAGGCTCAGCACTTTTGTAGCATCTGCCACTACGCATTTTCCAGGCATTGATTAGCCATGCAACTCCCATAGGCATGGATGTCCAGTTTCTGCAGATGAAGAGTAACAGTGGTGAGATGATTTGCCCAAAGTCAAACTGAGTCATTGGCAGAACCCTGACTCTGTTTATTACTGGTCTCTTCTTTTCCATTGAGTAGTATTTCCTCCAGGAAGTAAAACAGTATTTCAAAATAAGGAGACATTCTTTACCTTATATATCTCCACCAGAGGTGCTTTGAGATCCATGGAGATGAAGGTGTTTTCTTCTGTGACCTGCAAAATTAAGTTTAGTTTCCCAAGAAAAAGCAATTTCAAAAAATTCTGATTTTTTTTTAAAGCTAAAAACGAAAGTATAGGTTTTATTGGACATGTGTAGGCCATTTTTTTTTTTTTTTACTTTCAGCTCTTTGTTGAAAAAAAAAATTCAGCAGAGAAAGTGTGTAAGAGTTTGAGAGGGAATATGAAAATCCCTATAAATGATTCAAGAAGCCTGGATGAACTCATAATGTTGTGAAACTAAACCCATAACGCAGGCAAGATGAATAACAGGAGGACAGATTGGGCAGTAAGACCTGGCTTTACCATCTAAAGATAACTCTAATGTATTTAGATGAGAAAGGGAGGCAGACTTTCAAGCTGGACTGACTAATAGTGTCATTTCCAATCAGCCCAGGCTGTCAGAATTTTTTCAGAACAATATTGCCGTAGTGTTCTTTCTAGGAAAAAAAGAGTTCAAAACATTTTCAGAGTTTCAGAGAAAAAAATTTAGAAGCCCAAATTGCACCTGAATGTATAAATGACATAGAACAGGGGTCAGCAAACTATTTTCTGTAAAAGCCCAGATAGGACATATCTTAAACTTTGCAGTTTCTGTCACAACTTCTCAACTCAGCAGTTGTAGCACAAAAGCAGCCATAAAAAATACATAAACAGCCGGGACCGGTTTGGCTCAATGGATAGAGCGTTGGGGACTGAAGGGCCCCGGGTTCGATTCCGGTCAAGGGCATGTACCTTGGTTGCGGGCATATCCCCAGTAGGGGGCGTGCAAGAGGCAGCTGATCGATGACTCTCATTGATGTTTCGAACTCTCTATCTCTCTCCCTTCCACTCTGTACAAAAATCAATAAAATATATTTTTTTAAAAATACGTAAACAAATGATCCTGGCTGTTTGTTTATAGGCTTTGACATTTGAGTTGTATGTACTTTTCATATGTCACAAAGTAATATTTTAATTTTTCAACCATTAAAAAAAACTCTCAGCTCATGGGCCTCACAAAACCAGGAGGTGGGCAGGATTGGGCCATTGGTTATTGTTTACTGACATGGCTTTAGAAGACAAGTTCATTCAGCTGCTGAACTTCTTGTACCAGAGGTTGCTTGATTACTACGATGTTTGTGTAGCACTCAACAATCAGTGTCATGCAAAACTCATGTTTTAGATATTTACACTTAATTATAAAATATGTAACCAAATAATTGTCTAACACTCCTACACCTATCAAACTCTAAGGAAAAGAATACTCTAGCTTGTGAGTCACTGACAGACCAAGTTTCTATTGACATACTCTTCCTCACTCTAGGATGGTGAAGAAGAACGGAACCAAAGAGATCTGGGTTCCAACACGTAGGAAGTATCATCACTCCTTTTCAACTAAGGCACCTTGGGCAAGTTACTTAACCTCTCAGTCTCCCTATATTGTAAAATGCAGCTATTAATACCTACTTGGTGATGCTATTGAGAAGATTGAATGAAATAATTCATGAAAAGTGCTTAGCACAGTGCCTGGCACATGGGACTGCATAATACATCTTTCCCTATGACCTCAAATTCATTCTGAGTTAACATAACTCTGGAGGAGGTGAACATGTGAAGTTCCAATATCTTGCCAGTACAGATGTGGCCTATGGGGTCCTAAGAGTCTTGGTGTGATTCAAATTTGTGGGGTTGGTATTAATGTATACACTGAGTGGCCAGATTGTTATGATCTCTGAATGCATAATAATTGCCACTCGGTGTATTTCATATATAATAAAAGGCTAATATACAAATTGTCCCCTCTACCAGGATTTTGACCAACAGGCAGTCTGGCCAACTGCCCATGTCCCCTTCCCCTGGCCAGGCTAGCCGGATCCCACCCATGCACGAATTCATGCACCAGGCTCTAATATACACTGAGTGGCCAGATTATTATGCGTTCAGAGATCATAATAATCTGGCCACTCAGAGTATTTTGGTAGGTCTGTCTCAGCTCCAGGCATGCCTAAATAGACACACTCTTAGGCCTTCTGAACTCTGGTGTTTCTCATATAGAAAGATAATACCTGGTGGAATTTTTGAAAGGGCTAAATGGCATAAATGCTAAAGAAAAAATATAACAATTGGTATAAGTTAGTGAAAATCCCAGGAAAAAAAGCTGAAAATTGCAAATTTACATTTGGAATTTTCTTTGAGGTGAATCATTCAACTTTTAGACATGAATGACAATAGCAGGTGCTCAATAGAATTTGCTCTCCTACCATCTAGTTACCTGCCAAAACCATTTACTATCCATAAAACCCTGTTGAGCAAAGTTAAAAATCAAATTTTGAATGTTATTAAACACTGAAGTGCAGTTTTAAATATTTATAAAAATCGTCAAATCTGTTAGTGTTTTTCTATATATTCCTGCCTTCCATTCCATGCTTCAAAGGCCATCCAATGTGTAAGATTACAAAATACCTACAATTTTCTTCCTGTATTTTCATGGTTTCTATTTTTTACATTTACTTTATTGCCATACATACCGTGTTTCCCCGAAAATAAGACATCCTCCGAAAATAAGACCTACTTACAGGTTTCCTTCTGAGTGAAATATAAGGCATTTCCCAAAAATAAGCCCCCCCCCCCCAGGCTAAACATGAGAGATTTGGTGCACTGATTCTGAAAGAAATGGAGTCACAAAAAATTCACCAGGAAATTCAGGAATTGGATTGTTATGATGATGTTCCAGGTGATGATGACATGACTGTCATTGAATAAATGAGTAAATTCTTGATACTGTAGGATATACAGTTTGTCTGTCTGGTTTGTGTTGACAACTACCATACTGCCGTACCGTATACAGGTAATAAATTTTCTTTATTTTCATTTAACAATAAATGTGTACCGTATTCTTCTTCATGGAAAAATAAGACATCCCCTGAAAATAAGACCTAGCGCATCTTTGGGAGCAAAAATTAATATAAGACACTGTCTTATTTTCAGGGAAACAGGATATATATATATGGAAGACAAGAGCTAGGAACTTAACTTTTGTTTGATAGAAAATATTTAATTTATGCCCTAGCCCTTTTGGCTTGGTGGATAGAGCCTGCATCTTGGTGGATAGAGTCAGCCTGTATGTAGACTGACAGGTCCCAGATTCAATTCTGGTCAAGATCATATGCCCAGGGTTGTGTGCTCGGTCCCCAGTAGGGGGGCGTGCAGAAGGCAGCTGATCTATGATTATCTCTCATTATTGATATTTCTATCTCTCCCTTTCCTTTCCTCTCTGAAATCAATAAAAATATATATTTAAAAAAAGAGAAAATATTTCATTTATATTGGAATTCTATTGGATAATGTAAAATGTCATTTAAAATGATACAACAGCTAGCACTCTATAAGGACTATCAGTCTAATGCAGAGACATTGTAAATATAAGGGGAAAATATAACAGAGGCATTATGTATTATAATGGGGAATAAAGAAGTTTCTTCTAGATTTCCTTATTTTGCACTTCTGCAGTAGCATAGTATAAACCATAGCATGCATTTTTGTACTTGTATTTGTATATGTCTGTCTCTGATGTTCTGGAACTTGACAGTATTTCAAAGTAATGGCCCCTCCCTTCACAAACTAATTGAACAGCTTCCTCATGCAGCTCCCCTGTCCATGCTTCACTCAAACACTCTCCTTTTTTCTACTCCAGGCTGAAAAGTAATCCCATTATCTTTTAAAAGGTCAACCTAAAGAAGATTTGAAGTCTGTCTGGAAACCTGAGGGTCCCACTTCTTTACTGAGGCAGGGAGGTAACTATTACAGTTCATCAGCTCTTCTTTTCTAATTCTTATTGGGCTGGAGTAAATGAACACCTGGTTGTAACAACAAAGTGCTTTAAAAAGTAGAGGAGACATATCCACGTGATTTTTTAATTTATTTTTTAAAATATATATATATTTTATTGATTTTTACAGAGAGGAAGGGAGAGAGGGATAGAGAGCTAGAAATGTCGATGAAAGAGAAACATCGACCAGCTGCCTCTTGCAAACCCCTACTGGGGACGTGCCCGCAACCAACGTACATGCCCCTGACCAGAATCGAACCCGGGACCTTTCAGTCTGCAGACCGATGCTCTACCACTGAGCCAAATCGGTTTCGGCTCAACGTGATTTTTAAAGATGACAGAAAATCCCCAGTGACTAGCAGAAGTTGAGTGTATATTCTTTCTCTCTACTGTCTCAATGGTTTCTGATCTTTAAATAAACAAACAAACAAACAAACAAACAAATAAATAAATAAATATCTTCCTATTAACTGCCCTGTACATTTATGGTAAGTCAAAATCATAATTGGAAATGAATGGGTCAGGTAACTTGTAAATAAATAAATATTGGCAGATAAGCAGTAGACTCTCTGGGGAATACCTTCAATTGCATTACTTTGCCATAATCTCCAAGGTCAATTTAATCCTAAGCAACTTCAGGTGTGTATGTATGTAAGTAAGTAACAGAATTAACTAGACCAAGGTTTCTCAACCTTGGCACCATTGACATTTTGGGCCAGATCCTTTTTTGTGGTGGGGGCATTGTGGAATATTTAGCAGTGTCCCTGTCCTATACCCAACAGTTGTGACAGCCCAAAATACCTCCAGACATTGCCAAATGTCCCATTTCTTCTCTCTCGCTCGCGCTTGCTCTCGCTCTCACTGTGTGTATGTGTGTGTGTGTGTATGTGTGTGTGTGTGTGTGTGTGTGTGTGTGTGTGTGTGTCAAGGTGGGAGTACCATTGAACTAGCCCAAACACCACAGATAGATTTAAGTGTGCATTTGTCAGTGTGTGACTCTGCCCTTTACAGAAGCAAATCCCAATTTCTTTCCCAAAAGTAACTGATGTAGATCAGGGGGCCTAGGCTGAACCTGTTGTGAAAATCTAAAATGGTCACAATTAGAGCTCTAGACATGTCTGCCTTAAAGTTGCTGAGCTGCTAAAAGAATCACGGAGAGAGCCTCCGAGAATGGGGATGTTAAAAGAATTTTATCATCTTCTATTTGCACCTTTAGTTTATCTATTATCAACATAAATAAATTGTACTGTGGGCCTGAGCAGTGACATTATCTAGTGGAAGGTATTCCCAGATTTGGAGTCTGAGAACCTGAGCTGGGGTCTGAGCTCTGCAAATGTCTGTCTAATCACTTTATCTCCCTGCGCCTATTTCCTCGTCCAAAATGGGGAAAACAATAATGTTTAACCACTGCATTGTTGTGAGGGTCCGAGCTGTTTGTGAGAAGTGCTAGGGCTTATTCTTAAGGAATCAGGAACTTGGGAATCATACAGTCTTAGGTTGACTTTGGGAAAATGGACATTAAATGAGATAATATATGTCATGCCTGCTGAATAGATATCATTTTAGTCTTTGGTAAGTTGTATCACATTGTACAAATGCATATTATTTTATCACTATTTCTTATCTATGAGCATTGAAAACTGGAAATCTGAAGTACAAGTTGATGCACCTTGTTGATGCACATGAGTGAAACCCTGTGATAAAATGTAGCACCCCAAATTCCAACCAAGTGAAAGCAGCATTCAACAATAGTGTGCAACCTTCCATCTTCCAAGTTAAATCAGGCCACAGGTTTGTTGCAACATAAGGTTCTCCTCCCCTTATTGAAATAATGTTCTAATAAGTTTTTTACAGCCTGTGTATCACATAAAACACACGGGGTCAGGCAGCATGCCCAGATAGCACAATGTATGTCCTGTTCTGAACATTTAAATCTGACCAGGCGCTGTTGCAATATTCACCTTCCCCAAAAGCATTGGCAAATGGCATTGCAGTCCTAAAAATGAGGTGCAGGGAGGTGTTTTCTAAGTTAAGATATAAATAAGGGGAGCGAGGGGTATCTTTTTATAATACATAAACTTTTTAATTAAAGTATAACTTTCATATGGAGAAGTGCACAAATCACAAGTTGTACATTTCATTAAATTTTCACAAGGCAAACACACCTATGTAATTATTAAGTGTTTTTAAAGTTTAGAGAAGTCTGTATTAAACATGTTTTTTTTTTTATCATTAGATCACAAAAGGTTATAATGAACTAAAACCATGGAAATTTCCAGAAAAAGATAGCAAATGACTTTGCTGAGCAAATGCGATTTTGAATTCTCAAATGAAAATAATTGCAAAATGATAAATGGCCAAATGTCAGATTGCCATCTATTACTTGATATGTAGATGCTAGAAAATTAACTTAAAAGGGCCTCAGTCTTCTCATCTGTTAAGTGGGAATAATAATGGAATTGTTTTTTAAGATTAAATGAAATAACACTTGCAAAGTTCTGGCACATAAGCTCTCCATAATGTAAGTTTTTATACATTTAGGATGGTGTCCGAAGGGATCATAAGAAGGACATTACAGAGATCTCAAGAATTCTTTTTTAAAAATAGGGGAAATTCTGCACAGAAGGAGAGCTGCATCAGAATAGCTAAGGGCCGCCATCACTGAGCCGTAGGACCAGCAGGGAGGGTCTGTCTGTGGTAAAGGCTGGAGAAGGAAGCCTGAGAGAAAGCAGGGTACCTGGAGGTGGCAGGCAGGGTGATGAACCAAGAAGCTGTAAAGACAGTGCAGTTCTGAACAGAAAGCCACAGGGTGTGCCCGGCATCCAAACAGGACATGACCTGATTTTTCAGAGACCAGAGCAAGGTCTAGGAGTGATTGTTTGGTGTGGGCCTGGAGAGAGAGGAAAGAAAGGAACAGCAGCCACAGGAAACATAATCCCAGGAATCAGAGCCCTGAAACAGGTCTCGTTTAAGACTGTGTTCAAGGGAAAGGGGCTAGAGCATCTCATAACTTAAGAATGACCTCAACAATAGATCTTAAGGCCTAGCATTCCTTCATATTGAAACAAGATGTAATTGTGCATTTGAACCGACTTGGATCCTGAAGAAGAGAAAGAGATAACTACTCAGAAAGAAAAGAATGGAGGGAGGCCGGGTCTCAGAATCCTCACCTGGCAGAGAATCTCTCCCTCTGGATGACAACGGAGGTTACCCCAAATCCAGCCGGCAGTCGGATTTGTCACAGCTTCATTATCCCAATCTTGTAAATGACTTATCATTGCTCAAAGGGTCTTTGAAAGGAGGCAATTTGGTTTCTTTTCCCTTGATTGGTTGTAGGAGATGCATCAGTGTGTAAGATTCAGCAAGGTAATTTTGGTGAATAACTGTGACCCAGTGTCCTCACTTTCATGAAACATCTGTCACTGATGGATGAAGAGTGTGAAATAACCAAGCCAGGGATGGTAAATATGTGGCCTGTGGGTTTCTGAGAGCCTGAACTTGGCCTCAGAATCCTTCTCAGCACAGTGCCTCAGGCAGGCATTACCAACTGTTTGGAGTTTGCTCAAGACAGAAATCCATTTTGTCATACCTGGATTTACCCCTCATCCCTTGCTATAATCAGTGCACCTATCTATCCTACCCACTAATCCCAAAGCCCAATACAAAGGGTATCAGATATGAAATCTGCCTGACTCCAACCCTATATATTTAAAATAAGCCCTGGGTGGGTAACAATTGCCTCTCTATTTAAGGACCTGTTCTCATATTTCTGAGTTTATAACTGACTTATGACCTATAAATAGTCACATCAACTTCATTGCTGAATAATTTATATAGTGAGGGCATGCTCTCTGGATGAACCCGACACCCATTAGTGTTAGAGTAATCAGCCATGCTAGAACACACGGAGAGCCACACCTCGAATGACGGGAGTGGACAGGCAGAAGGCTTAGATTGTATTCCCTCCTTTATGCTCTTCGGGCCAGGATTTCTCTTTAGCTTCACTTTCTTCACCTCTAAAATGGGATATTATTTCTCCAGCGGTGGCAACATTAGGAGAACTATCAAAATAATAGTTTCAAAGGTTCTCAAACTCAAAAACTTTAGACTCAAAGCACTATTTCTGTAGCTATGGTCCTCTTTGATGAAAGCCATCACAATGAATGAGATTGATCATTTGTGTTTTACACGTCAGTTCATAAATAAGCCAAATCTCTTCCAAACTTTGTAGTTAATGAGATGAGAGAGAGGTTGTTAACAGCTTTTGGGTACAGTCCATGTTGTTCCCATCCATAAAATAGGCACACCATACATCTCATTTCCCTCTCTCTTCTGTAGAAAACTAATAAGAGAAGTTGCAAATGAATGAGTGTACTAAAAACTGGTGCTGTCAGTGAAAGAAAGAGGAATTAATTAAATTTAAATTTAAAATGACACCAATCTACCAACCCAACACCTGGGTTGGTGATTGAAACCAGGGGTAGTGGTGGGATAGGAACTTTGTGTTAAGAATTGCATCGGTGGCTACGGAGAAACAGTATGTTCTCTTAACACCGAGAATAAGAATTTTAAAACATGAAGCATTTTCCAGTAGCCACTTGGGGACTGTTGACTCCCCAGAGGTGCAGGGGTTACGAGTCTCTGAGCCACAAACACTTTATTTTAATACTTCTTCCTCAATTAGCATAAGCACAAACTTATTATTTTTCCAAGTACATTGTGTTGTCGCTGTTCATCTAATAGAAAAAGAAAAACTCATTCCAATCCAATCTGGATGAATATTACATTTCCTTTGATAAACGTCAGTGGGCTGATGGGAACAGACCCATTCCAAGCTGAAATGCTGGGACCTAAGCTTTGTGACTAACTGTGCCTAAAGACAGCTCATTTCATCCGGGAGTGTCCTCGCCTCAGCAGTCTAGCAAAACCAAAAAGATCACAGCACAAAATCAACCGAGAGCCTGACAACATTAACTCAGCGAGTTTATGTTCATCTGTTATTGGAACCTAAGTCAATTTATACAAATGTTGTTTTAAAGGAAAAAATGTTTTGGCTGAGTAATTGTGAATAATCAGAAAAGGCAAGCAAACAAACAAATAGAATAGCGGGTAATACAAGCGGGCCATCCTTCCGACCAAATTTTAGATCAAATTTTCAAAATTAAAAGTTTCTCTCTCTTTTTTTTTTTGTTTGTTTTACCAAATTTACAATTTCAGAGAAATTTGTCCTCATTGCTGATCAGATTTCCACTGACCAAATAATTCCCAAAGCTTCAAATCTGAAATTTTCTGCCTTTCCCAGTGCACTTAGCTCTTTGACACATTGGGGTGTCTTACATTTCTGTGAACTGGGGGGTCCAGGTTCCAGTTCTGCTACTCACTGGCTGCACACTTGAAAAAGTCATTGGTTTAACAGGTTTCGGGGTGTGTGTGTGTGTGTGTGTGTGTGTGTGTGTGTGTTTCATCTTTAACATAAAAATATCTGTATCTTAGCTCACCAGGGTAATTGGGGGATTTAAAACAGGGATCTCTAAAATTTCCCTAATAAGTTTTTCCCTCATGAAGACTTGTTGATAATAATTAACAGTAAAAAAGAACAGTTGCCATGTACTGAGCATTCTGGGTCAGATGTTTTGTACAGACTTAAAATTTTATAGATAAGAAAACTGAGCAGAGGTGTTAAGTAAATTACCTAAAGTCACATAAATAGTAAATGGCAAACCTGGGATTCCTGCCCACGGCTATTCAGATTCTGGTTCTGTTTTCTAATGAGAATCCCATGAGCCAAAGGAATGACTCAGGCAAGGCTTTCAGAAGAATGAATGGATCCTGAGACAAGGGTCTCCAAGGAAGAGCAACTCACCTCCTTTGGCAAAAAAGAGAAGCAAGTCTCTGTCACAGGTAGGAAGATACACGACATGATGGAAGATGCGGAATCTGGAGTCAGATAGGCCTGGGTGAGAATCTTGGCTAAGCTGCTCCTTAGCTGAGGGGCCTTGGACAGGTTATTTATCCACTCTTAACCTCATGCTTCTCATCTGTGAAATAGGGATAGTAATACGTACAGAGTTGTTTCAGTGGTTAAAAACAATCCATGTAAACTGTCTTGCACATAGTAGGCATACAATATGTGGCGGGCAAAATATAATATCCTTTCATAAGTACCTTGGCAGCACTTCCCAAAGTGTGTTATTAATAAGCATTATGTAATAAAAAGAAAAAAATATCAAAGCAATTTTAAGTCAAGTAAATCTGGGAGAAGCTGTTAAGCAAAGTTAAACTGCTTATTTACTGCAGGACTTGAGTCTGTAAGTTGCAAAGATGCAATAGATTTCTCCAAAAGGAAGCCTTTTCCCAATTTGTTTGATTATATAGCCCCGTTTTTATGGGAATCTTGCAGGACTGGTGTTCTTGGAACACGTTAGGAAGCACAGGTGTGGTGAGTTTGGGAAGAAAAAGTTGAATTCCTCAGGTCCAGCCATCATTTAGCATTTACTATTTTGCAGTACCTCCAGAGCCATCTCTCATCTCCATTTATCTCTCCCTAAAGCAGGACTTCTTCGTTTTACAAATGTCACAGAATGAAGCTCTACAGAGTGATTTCCAGCTTCCATTCAAATGAAAAGTTCAGCTCCCAACAGGACTAGGCGACATCCACAAAGCAAACCAAGCCAGACCCATGGGAGCGAGGCATTATTGGGTCTCTCAGGATGCAGGACACCGCTCCTTCTCCCCTCCAATCAGAGAAGCTTCAAAGGTGCAGGTTACTCCACAGACCACCGGAAGGTACAGGCATGGAGAAAAGAGACCCTGCCACTTACACAGAGAGTAAGAGGTGACCCCGCTTAGGCTCGTGTCCATGCACTTGTCAAAGGCCAGCCCGGCCCATGGAGGGAGGAAAGGATTAAAAGAGAGGATCAGCTTTTTATTTTCATGTAAAAAAGCACTTGCCTCCAGGTTATAAATGTTATTGCATTTGTGTAGCACTTTACTGCTGCCCTCAGCTTGCAAGCATCACAGGATCCCAGTGGCAGTACTTTTATAACCCTTGATCAATAGCTTATTTCTATCGCCTTCAGTCCCAGCTGCCAATCCGTTCTGTATAATGTGGAAGGCAGACCTCGCTGCTCTCCAGCTGTACATGTTATGAATGTAAACTGTGAGAGTAACATATGTATGTGTGTGTGCGCATTGAGTGGGGGACATGGGAATTTTGAACGAGGAATGACAAAAATGGGCCCCTTGTTCTCGGAGACTACCTCAAAGCTGGGAGTTTTCTTACTAATGAATCTCTAGCGCGCGTTCTCTCTCTCTCTCTCTCTCTCTCTCTCTCTCTCTCTCTCTCTCAGGATGAAAGGTAGTATGGAAACATGTAAGTTCCAAGAAAGAAATGTCGTTTATTGCCCTCAGATTCAGCACCTACAAGGAACCTAGCACAAAGTAAGTGCTCAGGAAATATTCGTGGCTTTGGTTAGCAATGGGGAGGGAGGACGAGTCCCAGAACATTCTCCAGAGTCTGCCTGAGCAGAGCAAAGGATGAAGGCTTTGTGTTGCCCACAACACTGGGGACCACAAACAGCACTGAGTGTCTGCTTTAAGGCTCGCTTCTAGGCACCATAGGAATCAGAGAACTAAGATGACTGATGTAAGCAGCTACTGCTGTTTGTATCTCCGCGGAGCAGTCAGCCAGGCCAACCCTTAGAGGGCAGATACTCCCCTCACCTTGTCCCCCCCACCTCGGAAGCCGGTTTTAGGACCAATCCACTCTAGGAGAGGCCTTGAAGCCGGACCCCAAGGCTCCCCAACATCTTCCAGCGCCAGGAAACTGACTCTGGCTCGCAGTAAGGCAGCCGGGCCTGCCCTTGTCTGAACCTGCGTCCTTGAGACTCAGCCAAACCTCTCCCGGCTTGGCGGAGGGATGTTGAGGTGACATTCTCCTCCTGCCACTCAGCATCTTTTAAACAGCCCTCCTCCTCCACCCCGGGAGAAGACGCACGAACTCACTGGAGACTGGGGCCACGGGAGCTGAAAATGCCCGTGAAAAGCACACCTCCCGTGGAAAATCAGAACCTGGGGTGTCGGCAAGTTCTTTCTGTCGAAGCTTTTTTGGTTGCCCGTGGTAGAAGTGCACGTCAGGCGGAGTGAGTGGACGAGGGAGACTTGGCTGGGAGGATATAGGGTGTCTCAAGGGGCCAGAGGCCCTGGCCCCACGCCCTGGAAGGGGTGGGAAGGAGGATCAGTGACTCCCCAGGTCTGCCTGCTGCCAGCTGTACTATTTCCTCCTCCTCGGGCTCAACCCGAGTTCACAGCCTGGGGGTGGGGTGAGGGCGGGGAACGGAGGCAGTCGGGGGGTACGTGGCAGGATGAGCAGGAGGCTGGCACAGGCCCTTTTGGCTCTGGACCACACCTCCTGTAGTGCCCCGTGAATTAATATTTTTAATAAATCCTGTAATTAGCCTGCGAACAGAACATTTTTGTGGCACTATATTTTTGGTGTTAAAAGCATTAATTTGTTCAATATAAACATTAAATATATACGCCATCCTTTCTGTAACCTTGTTTCTTAATGCACCAGGAACCTCACGAAATTCTAGTGGGCTCTAAGGCCCCAACCAGGAGGTGCACTCTGCTCTGCGCAGAACAGCGCCCCCCACCCCCACCCCTGTTCCAGACCCCCCAGCCTGGCTCTCAGGCCCAGCTCCCAACGTATAAGAGACAGACTCCACCCGGCTCTGCGTGGGCCAGAGGTTCGCCTGGCTCTGTCCGCTGTGATATTGCAAGAAGAAAAATGGGCTGGACAGACAGACACCCCACAATGTACCTACTATACTGTCAACTTCATGGGTTCACCCGGAGCAGATGCCCAGATGCTGCAAGTCTCCAGCTGGGCAGGCAGAGGACCCCATGGGGCTATGGAATCACGGGAGGAGGGATGGGGCTCACCTTGGAGCTCAATGTTCATAAGACTCTGCTTTCTCCAGTCTTGGGTTTCTAGTTTTTCTTTATGTTCTGATTTTTTCCCCTTTATTTGTAATTTACTATTTTATCATATATTTTCTTTTGAGTCAAAATCCTTTGTGGCACAAAAGGCAAAAATAAATAACTCAATAATGTCAGGGTTCGTATTTAATGGCATCAAATCAACACACTTCTTGGAGGCCTCTCACAATCCTAGCTGTCCTCCCTTCCTTCCCTCCCTCCTTTTCCTCTTTCTTTCTTTTGTTTTTTTAAGAATATTTTTCCATAAAAGCAATATGAGTTATCTTTTAAAAAATACGTTTAAGCAGGGAAGTATGACCATAAAGTAAAAATCATTCAAAAGCCCCCCAACTCCCTCCCCCCGCCAAGCCCCCTCCCTCATCCTAGCGATAACTGCTGTTAACATTTTGGTGTACAACTTTCCAGTTAATTTTCAATAAAAATTAACCCCATTTTTAAAATTCACTACTATAACATTGACTTGTATCATATTTTTTAACTTAGCAATATATCATATCTTTCTTTTTACATCATTGTATATTATTCTGGAAACATTTTATTTCTGAAACTGGAATCAGCTTTGTTATTTTGATATATAAAATATTCAACCAATATAGAGAAATAAAGGTCCACTCTCAATCCCACTTCCTGAAGATAATCACTATTATTAAAAAATAAACCCTTCCTCTAAACAGGCAGTCTGACATCCCTCAAAGGGTTCCAGATTGGAGAGGGTCCAGGCTGGGCTGAGGGACAACTCTCTCTGACCCCATGCACGAATTTTGTGCACTGGGCCTCCAGTATATATACATTTACATAAGCAGTCATATCACATCGTGTTTTGTAATCTGTTTTTCCTACTTATCACTAGGTCATGAGTATCTTTCCATGTCAGTACATATAATGCATCATCCTTCTTAATGGCTATATAGAATTCCATCTATTGAATTCCATCTCTTAAATAAATGTTCATAATTTATTTAACTAATCACCTATTGTTGGAAGCATTTCAATTATTTCCAATTTTTTTTTACTATAAGGAATACTACACTAACCATCATTGTATACACATTTTTATCATGTCTGATTATTCCCTTAGAAAGAATTCCTAGAAGGAAAATTGTGAGAAATACAAGATACATCTTTTAAAATTTGATTCATATTAAGTAGTTCTGTAGAAAATGTACCAATTTACATTTCACCAGCATGTATGAGATAAGATGATTCTGCACACCATCCCCAGCATTGGCCATTATCACTCTTTCTTATCCTTGCCAGTATGATGGCTAAAAAATAATATTTTATTGTGGTTTCAATCTATAAGTCTTTGATTACTTGTAAGATCGAGCATGTCTTTATACCTTTACTTCTCAGTTGAATTTCATTTATGAATTATCTGTTTATGTTCTTTGCCCATTTTATTTTATTAAAGTATTCTCTTATTTTCCTATTGGTTAGTAAAAGTCATTTATATATTAAGACTATTAGCCTTGACATCTATGTTGCAATTATTTTTTCTCATTGTGTCTTTTGCCATAGAAAGCTTTTATTTTTATATATTTGTATCTGCCCTAGGAAAACAAAGTCAAGTAGCAGGGGCTTAAACAGTAAAATATTAACAATTTAATTAACCTGAAATCCAGAGGTAGGTGGTCTCAGAATTGGTTTGGTGGTTCAGAGCTGTCACTAGTCTCATCTTTCAGATTTGCCATCTACAATGTGTTGGCAGTGTCTTCTCTTGTAAGATGAGACGGCTGCTACACCCCCAAATATGACATCGTCATACTCCAATCGGGAAGGAAAAGGATGGGGACAACGATTTTTTTTTTTTTTTTCAGCTCACAGATCTGTTATCTCACCAGGAAGGAAAATCTTCCCCGGTAGTGCCTAGCAGATTTTTATTTACATCTCATTGACAACAAGTAGTGTCTGCCAAAATAGTCAAACCTGTCAATCATTTCCTCCATGACTTGTGGCACAGTACCATATTACCAAAGGCCCTCCCTGCCCCCCAAATTATTTTAAAATGTACTTCAGTTTTATCTTTGTGAATGTTCCAATATTTTGTTTATTTTGTTAATTTCAAAATTTTTAAATTACCTGGAATTTATTGTTGAGTGTGGATTGAGATAACTTTGCTTTTTTCCCCCCCTAAGGATATTCAGTGATAACTTTTATTAAATAATCAATACATTCTCCCACCACATTGAAATACTAACTTTACTATATAAGTTCCCCTAGGTTTAAGATTTTTTTCCATTATCTTTTTTTCTGTATCAGTACCACAATGTTTTTAATCACTAAAGTTTTATACGTAGTTTTTATATCAGGTAGAACAAGTAATTTTTTTTTCTTCATAATTTTCTTGGCTATTTTCCATTTGTTTATTCTTCTAAATAATTTTTAGGATTAGTTAAACAAGTCCCCTCCCCTCTGTAACAAGTGTTCTTTCTTGGAATTTTTATTGGGATTACATTAAAATTATAGATTAATTTAATTTTTATGTGTTCCTATTGATTTTAGAGAGAGAGAAACATTGAGTAGCTGCCTCCGACATGCATTCACTCTGATTGGGGATTGAGCCCACAACCTAGGCTTGTGGCCTGACCAGTAATCAAGTCTGTGACCTTTCATTGCAAGGGACAACACTCAACCAACTGATCCACACAGGCCAGGGCAATTATAGATTGATTTTAGAAGACCACACATCTTTACCAGTATTTAGTCTTCACTTCCAGGATCATGGCATGTGCTTCCCATTTTTTTAAGTTTTCTTTATGTCCTTTAGAAAAGTTTTATAGCTCTTCATAAATATCTATTTTTATAAAGTTTATTTGTATTTTATTTTTATGCCAATTGTAAATGTGACTTTTATATTAATAGGAAGGCTAAGGAAGGACCACTCTTGCTACTCTTCAATATAACCTATTTGGTTATGATTGTTTTAAAACATCTTTTGATTTAATTTGCTAATATTTTATTTAGCATTTATTCCCAAGAGAGGTTGGGCTATTTTTACCTTTTGAAGGATTTTTATAATAAAGTTTGTAAGTTTATAAATGAATTAGGGAACTATCAATCTTTACCTTCCTTTAGAACTGCATTATCTAATGCAGTAGCCACTAGCCATGTGCAGCAATTGAATATTTGAAATATGGTAACTGCAACTGATTATCTAAATTTCTAATTTAGCCCTAGCCAGTTTGTCTCAGTGGACAGAGCTTCAGCCTGCTGGCTGAAGGGTCCTGGGTTCGATTCTGATCAAGGGCATGTACCTTGGTTGCAGGATCCTCCCCAGCCTGGGCCCGGGTCGGGGTGCGTTCAGGAGGCAACCAATCGATGTGTTTCTCTCACATCAATATTTCTCTCTGTCTTCCCCTCTCTCTTCCACTTTCTAAAAACCAATGGAAAAATATCCTCAGGTGAAGATTAAAAAAATAAATGTCTAATTTAATTTAACTTACATTTAAATTTAAAAACTGATCCTCAATTCAATTACTGGAAAGCTTAAGCATATTTGGAACAACCTGGGTATGTGAATCTACCTTTCAACTGTAAATGTCATGAAATCTAACTCTTCAGATATCAGATATCAGTATTTCTGATAAAAATTTAGCATCTGAATTGAGATGTGCTGTAAGTGTAAAATACACAGTGGAGTTCAAAGACTTCGTTTAAAAAAATAACAAAATATTCATTTTATAATTTTTATATTGATTACATGTTGGAATGATATTTTTTACATATTGGATTAAATAAAATATGTCACTAAAATTAATTTCACCTGTTTCTCACTTTTTTATGTGGTTACTATAAAATGTTTAATTACATATGAGGTTTGCATTATATTATTGATACTACTGCTCTAAATTTTTAAATAATAGCAATTATCTGATCCTTAATATTTCCTAGGACTACATTTGTTTTTTATAACTACATGTTGTCTCATCAAATGGATAAACTAACATTTGCTTAATCTGTTATTATTATATATTTAAATTATCCTTTTTTTTCTTCCTTTCTTTTAACAATTATGAACAATTTTGTGTTTAAC